AGAGGGTCATTATAAAATACAGTACAAAACACAATCCCAGTTTCTTCTACAGATTACGGAGGGGGATTCTGTTAGAAGAAACCTGTTGCCAGATTTTAGTGATCATCTGTTTTAACATATATTCACATCTTTTCACAGTCTCTGGCAGTGAAACTGTCATGCAGACAATGCCGAAGTAATTTCAGATTTGAGGTGATCAGTTATTATCATTACCAGTAGGTGGGGAGACTAGGTGAGTGGCTCCATGGAAACTGACAACTCTTGTGTAGCACCAAAGCTAAAGATTCATATAAAATAAAACAAAAATAAAAATATGTGCTACTTTTGTCTGAGGTAGAGTTAATTTTCTTCTTAGTAACTACTATTGGGTTATGTTTTGGATTTGTGCTGAAAACACTGCTGATAATATAGAGATGTTTCTATTATTGCTGAACAAGTCTTACACAGAGCCAAGGCCTTCTCTGCTTTTTACACCACTCCACCAGCAAGGAGGCTGGGGCTGCACTAGGAGTTGGGAGGGGACACAACTGGGATAGCTGACCCCGACTGACCACAGGGATACTCCATATCGTATAGCATCATGCTTGGCATATAAAGCTGGGGGAAGAACAAGGAAGGGGGATGTGCAGAGTTATGGTGTTTGACTTTCTAAGTTACTGTTATGTGTGATGGAGTCCTGCTTTCCTGGGGATGGCTGAACACCTGCCTGCCCATGGGAAGTGGTGAATGAATTTTATGTTTTGCTTTGCTTGTGTGCATGGCTTTTGCTTCACCAGTTAAACTGTCTTTACCTCAACACACAAATATATTTCACTTTTACTCTTCCAATTCTGTCCCTGATCCCACTGCTGAGGGTGTGAGGGACAGGCTGTGTGCTGCTTAAGTTGCCAGTTGGGGTTAAACTACAGCAAAATGCAATAACTGAACTTGAAAAGAAGGAAACAAACTCTAAAGAAAGTGAAGAGAAGTGTGACAACACGGCCATAGCTAACTCAGCCTCCACTGAAGTCAGCAGGTTTTTTTAAATTTATTTTGATGGGATTTGGACTGGGGAACTGAGATGACCGTTTACCCCTTTCTCTCATAGTTGTAGTAAGCCTGTTTCAGCACTCTTCCCTGTGCCCATGAGAGGCACCGTGCCTGCCAGAAGTGTAATATGTCTTGACATTTGCTCCTTAATATAGCTCAGCCTCATAGGAACCTGACATGTGACTTGCTGTGCTAAATAGACCACATTTCCTTCAAACACTTTCATTTCTGTAATCTTGAGTGTGTGATGTGCTGCCCTCAAGAAAGCTTACCTCCATCACTTCAAATTGAGCTGCTACAGTGAAACACCTCCCACAAGAGCAGCTTCAGGGAGGGTTAGGTTAAAGGCATAGGTTTGTGGAAGAGTCACTTTTTGAAGAATGTGCAGGTAGGCTGTTCAAGTGGTGCTTCAAAGCTGGGAAACATTCTCAGTAATGGGGAGATGGGAATGCCATGCAAGAAAATTTGGGTGACCTGGATAAGAAGTGAGATGGAAATTGGCATTATGGTAGACAGGGTCATGCACTGAAGGATTATTAAGGCTCTGATACGTCACCAGTGGTAAATAAGGGAAGAAGAGCAATTGAGTGCATCAGTCAGCTGCAGGATGACTATAAAGCAGCACTGGAAAGAAGCAAAGGCAATCCTAGAATGAAAACTGGAGAAAGCTTTTCCAGTAGAAGTAAGAAAGTATGACAGCACTGTGCAAGACCTTGAGGAGGTCATAATCTAAATACTCTTCAAAGTTTTAATCAGCTAAGCTCCAGTATGATAAGCTAAAATGGGAGTGTGTGCAAAGAAGAGATAATTTGTCAGGCAAGTGGAATACCCATGTTACAATCAAAGTCTAAAATGACATGGTTTCACCAAATGAAATCTTCCCATCAGTAGGTTAAAGTGGGTAAAACACAGAGAGAGAAAAATAACAATTTAAGGTAAATGGCAGTGTTGGCACACCACCAAATAAGTATAAATATGCAAGAATTCCTTGCATTGTGGCAGAGAAGTAGCTGAACTGACCCTGGCAGTGCTGCACACCAAAGGAGCAGGTGGTTGGCTCAAACCAAACAACTCAAGCATTCCTCCACAACACATCTACAGGTTCTGTGGGATTCCTTCCCATAGACTGCTGCAAAGAGAAAGGTTTTCATGAGCTCAAGAATCAGTCAAATTAATGCATGGGAGAAAAAAATCCCAGTGAGGTCTATTAAACAGCTTTCTGGTGAGGAGATTGCTGAACTGGGAATGAGCTAGGAGATCCTTGAGCTAAGAAGTGTGATAGTTTTGCCCCACTGTTATTTGCTTCCATGGACATTCATTGTCAATCACTGTTTTCAGTGTGTTTCCAGTAAAATTTCTCACAAAGCAAAGACTAATCAAAGAGAGAAACAATGAATGTAACACCGCCTCTCCAGCAATCTTCCCAAAAAAACCACACCAAAACTCCCCTAACTATTTGTTTTCTACCTAAGGGCATGGAATTTTTGGCACGAAGAGCTTCCTTCCTGCCTGTAGCCTCCAGAAACAGAAATTTCCATCAACTTGGTAGACAGTGACTTCAGTGTGAAAGGACAGTTTCTTTTTAAAACATGTGATAAGAAGGGCAGAAAGTAGTAGGCTTTGTCATTTGAGAAAGCATAGTTCAGAGGGCATCTAATGCAATGGAATAAGACAAAATGAAGCAGTGTATCATGAAATTGCCAGTTTTCAAGGACTGAAAATTGAGACTTGTAGCAGAAACTGTTTTGGTGCCTTTCCTTATAGAAATGACTGCTGGAACACAACGAATGAGTGTGTTGGTGGATGATATTTGTGCATGTGAAAGGGTATCTAGAAGTCAGTTCAGTAATGTGAGCAGGTGATCAATCTCTGTATAACAAATCCTTCCTGTCTCCTCCCCTAGGGGATACCTATCCATTTCTGTATAACCTGTAGTTCTTGTCCCTGAATAGAGAACATTTTTTTGAGTGTTGGTTTTTATTTTTTAGTCTTTTTAGTTTTGTTTCCCCACCCGTCCATTTTTATTTTATTTTTTCTCATAGAGAAGGCTGTTATGATACAGTTATTAAAATTATTAGAAATGCCTCTGCCTGAACTAAGGTACAAATGAGACCAAATGCCAAAGTCAATAATATGGGTTTTATTTAATGGTAAATGTGAGACAAAGAAAGAGAAAGAGAAAGAAATAGTGAAAAGGAAGGGGTCAGGGAGAAGAAAGAGAGTGACAGAGAGAGATTTAAGTAGCAAAAGTATCATCACTTAGTGTAATCCGGTAGCATCCTGTCAATCCAGTTTTTCTGTTCTTCTTGGTGGTGAGGGTTTTCCAAAAAAAACATAGAGTCCAATGGATTCATCTAATACCTGGCACTTCCCCTTCTAGGTGGAAACTTTGCAGTCTCTTGTAACAGGTTTGTTGTCTCACTTGGATCACATGCAGTCTTCTGGTGGTGGAAGGCCTCAGGAATGAATTAGGGGAGTGTTTGGGTGGTCTTTGGTGGTTTATGACCCTTTCTTAGCTGCCTTTCACATGAATGTCCCATGTGTACATGGTCTTCTAGGGATGAGGAATAGAGGAGGGGTAGGTCAGGGCATTACTCCTTTGGTTTGGAGGGGAGTGATTTCACCATGACACACCCAAAGTCCTTCTCCCCTACTACCCTCTGAACCCAGCTGGGGCTGATTCTTAACACAGATGCATTCTTCTTTTCTGAGCCTTGTTTACTTCTCCTCAGACTGGAGATGATTAGACAATAGTCTTATCTCAAGTCCCCAGCCACAGTCCAAATTCCAGTGGGGAGGCACTGGGAGGAGGGGGGTGCTTTGGTGGCCACAGACTGTTGTTTCCAAGCAGTTGACAAAAAGTCTTTCTATGATTTTGACAATGTTTAAGACATTACTGACATTTCAGTCCATCAAAGGGACCCCAGCTATTTCTATAATACATTAAAATGGCTCACTCATATTTCTGTCTCTCAAGTACTCTGCCTCCAGAGTACAGATTGGCTAATACTCCCTGCACCTGAAATAAAGAGAAAAGACGCTTTACATAAACAATCAGAAAGCAACTTGTTTCCAGGAAAATGTTCCTCTTTACTCTCTGTACTTGGAAAAATCTTTTCTACACCTTTATATTTTACTGTTCATTACTGTAAATCTAGATATTCTAGTTATTTGTGCAATAAATATTCTTATTGGAAATTATTTGCTTTAACATTACACAAAAATGTAGCAAAACCATCCATGCTTGGCTCATTATTTATTAGTTGTGAATGTTTTACTGCTTAGTGCAGGAGCACATTTCACTGTATCTGTTCAGGGAAGGAAAATTCAGATTGCCTTCTGGTCTCTGCTACCTCAGCCTCTGTGCACTCTCATGGGGCTTTATCTTTTTATTTCTTTTCAGAGACTCCTTATCTTCACATATTTGTTAACTTTTACATACCCAAACAGTGATCATAATTTTTCTACCGCAGCAGTAATTTCTGAGACCAGCTAGAGAGTCAAGTGCTAGTGAAGTATCACCACATCTTAATGCAGCAAAATCTGCTTTTCTCATTGTTTTTGTCCTCTCTGTACTTTGCAATTTTTAATGCTCTGCATGTTTAGCTGACTGTCACTATTGATAGAACAAAGATTTTCTCTGAACTACCCATGATCAAGGCCGAGCCCACTTTATTGGACATATCAGGCATATGCGAAATTTTGGCTGCAGTTGAATTGTGAGAACTGTGAGCATGCTGGTTGCATTCTGAATTCATGCCAGGATCCCTGTCCTCCCCAAAAAAAGAAACCTGGAAACCATGGACCCAGATCTGAGGCTGGGAGGAAAGGGCACCTCAGGGAGTACACAGCTCCTCACACCCCGTGAGATGGTCAAGCAGCACAAACGGCTCCAGCCCTGGCATCACCGAGTCCCTTCTTCCCTTAATGCTGAAGGATAAAACCTGCTTAGACAAACTGCATCGAGAATACTCCTATTCAAAGGACTTTGCAAGACTGGGAGGACTGCAGAACAAGAAAGGAAAAGGGAAATGGGGAGATACAAGTGATTGCAACAGAGCTGGAAGAACAGTGCTGTACCCATCACGGGAAATCTCCATCCCAATGGATTGCATAAGGTTTGCAGAAGAATTTGTTGTCTTAACTCTAGATGTGCTTCATATGTTGCTACCACAAGAGATGGAGAAGGAATAAGATAAATTTGAAAGCATACATTAACAATATTGGCAATATATGGCTTTGATTTTGTTTATTTCTTGATTCATTCAATTTACTTTTCTTTGGAAACTTTCTTCATCAGTAAACTGTCAGTGACATAACAGAAGTTCTTCAGACAACATACTTTTTTATCAAGCTACTATGGTTACTGACTTCTTGGTATCTTGAGTATGTAAATTTGTTATTATTCTGAAAATTTCAAGATGTCTTTTTTCTTATACTGCAGATATGTTTATTTACATATTTATTTAAATACAACTGCTTAAAAATTTAAGTTTATAAATGATGATATTCATTCTTTTAGCAAATATTTTTATTAAACACTTCCAGATCTCAGTAAACATAGGAGCTTTCATTTAAAGATATTATCTGCTCCTGGGTTCTCTATTAAAAGAATAATATTTTTTTCATTAGAATTAATTGTGAATAAAAATATATTTCAGGCAGATCCTATGCTGTATGGCCTGCAAATCACAAAGGGGAAAAGCTTATGGACTTTGTTTCTTTTTCCCTTTTTTTTTCAACATTTACAGTGATTTTCACTCATGGAGTGTCATGTATTCTATCTGGAGTGCAATACAGGATGGTGTCTTCTTTTATCATTTGGAAAATCAGTCATGATTAGAATCATATTCAGTTAGCATTTATTTTACTTATGCTAAGAAGTTATATATGGTGTTCTTGAGTAACAAAATACTCTGAAAAGTCAGAATTTTTTTCTGTGACTACTATAAATTTGTTTCAACTGTGAAAAACTAATCTTAAACTCCACTGTTTCTTTTTCCTTTTTTTTTGTTTAATATCTGTTAATGTTTTCCTCCTCCTTTCCTTTTATTTTCTTTTTTTATAGCAATAGTGGCTCAAGAACAACTACTGAATTTGCAGATAAATATAAAAAAACACTCCTATGAGACTTAAAACATAAATAGCCTCATTCTATCCCTGGTCTGTGATCCCTTTTCCTCTAGCCTGCTGTGTTTCTCTGAATGTATTCGTTTTTGGAACAGTTAATTACCATACCAGATTCTCATTTAAAATGTAAGGGCTTTCAAACAAAATAAGTTCCATATTGAGACACTAGCAGCAAAGCTCATCTGGATAGCAGAGCCAAATGAGAGATGTGCAGCAGCACAAGTTCCAGACTGCAGTTTTTTGAGAAAAACTACTTGATTCTTCTAGCCTGTCTCCAATCTGAGCACGGCAGCTGTATTGTGCCTTGCACTGCGGATGTGTGACACAGTGCAAAGGTTGACACAATGCTGGGAAAGCAGAAGGAAAGTGAATGGGACTGTAAAACTCCCTCTTTTGGCTCAGTGGGGAGTCTTCAGAGTTTACTTCAGCAGAGAGGAACTCATTTTGAGTGTTCATTAAACAAAGCGACACAGTAAGAGGAGCAAAACTGCCTCCTCTCTTTCTGTTTGCGTGTCTTTTTACTTTAAACACTCTTAGCATGAATACTGTACAGTTTCTCATCCTATGAACATAAAGGTGGTACTCTCCTTTCTTCCTACAGGATTTCTAGCAATTCTTCAATATTTTTCTATTAACTTTTGCATATCTCAATCCATTATTTAGCCAGTCCCACAAACCACACATGCACACGGGCACACATACACTTTCAGCAGATAATCATAGAAGTAATTAAAAGCTACAGGAAACTCAGATACTCTGTCCAAATAGCTGTAGGCACTTTTATAATTTGCACTTACACTCTTTTATGTTAATGATATTTGACGTTACCTTCACATCTCTAGTATCTGTGGCCCTAGATTGCTCTTCTACTAATCTGCAGTCCTGATTATCACAGATGAAAGATCTTTTGTGTCTTGAGAAACATATATAGCAGTCAGTCTCAAAGGATACCTATTATATTGGTTGGACTTTTATTAACGTATCTTTTTGTTAGTTTTCTACAGCATCACTTGCAATTATAAAACTAATCTCTTATCTCTGGGAAAAATAGCTTTAGCTTGGAAAACTATGTTGAAAACACTGTATGAATGGTTATGCTAGTATTTTTTCAATGTAAATAGATACATGCTATTTTTAAACTCCCTGACCAAGTTTATTGAGTCTTGTTGGATTAGCCAAGAAAAAGAAAAATCACTACAGAAGGTGTCGGTCTGTTGAGCCATTCAGTGTTAGACATTCTCCTAGTCCTAAAAGTGTGAGAACTCAGGTGAAAGGTATCTTAGGCCCCCCAAAGATTTAAGCTGCTTTCCTCAGCGAGCGAGGAAGCCATTACATGTCTACTGCAGATCATTATTTGCCCTCAAACATGACTTAGGTACCTACAGTGTAATGGTTAAGCTCGCCACAAGTTAGAAGTCACCCAAATAGCAATGATGCTAACAGGAATGAACTAAATTATAGTCACCAGTTTATGTGATAGCAGCCTAAAGAGATTATTTTGCTGTTCCCAAAAAGAAGTAAAAAAAAAAAAAAGGGATGAAATAAATTGTGAGAAATCAAATGCATGCACCAGGTGCCTCTCAAGACTCTCCACATGCCTACAGTTACCCATATGTTCAAGTGCTTGGTTGTCTCGAAGTGCTAATGTTGAGAAAAATTCAAAGGGTAAAGCAAGAACCTCTTTGATAAATTCTACTATCAAGGAAATGTTTATTGTCACCACAGTATTGCTCAGCTTGTTTCTCTATGTCTCTGAATAAAACCAGCTGTGGACTATATGTGGGCATAAAAGATGGAGAGTTACAGGGCAAAGAGAAGGGCTTGATTGCCTGTACTGTTTAATTGTTAGCACTCTATCCAGCAGTTTTAATCTGTATCATGCAGCACTCTCACAGGCAGTGCTTAAGCGTGAACAGGAAATAGATAAAGGGATGTTTCCAGTGGACAGTGGGATGCAGGGAAGACTGGGGGAACCATGTTATGCCACCAATACTGTGAGCCAACAGACACTCCCCCAGTCTTTGTTTCCTAGAATACTTGCAGACAAAGCTTATTCTGAGGGTGTAGATTTTTGTGTGAGCTAACCATCAGGTCATTTGCAGAGATTGCCTATCCATAAAAGCAGCTGGGACACAGTGAAGCCAAAATCCTTGGCACGGATCTGACCCTACTGCTGTCCTCAGTGCCCCACTCCCCACCTGCCCAGGCTCCCTGTCACTCTCAGCTCCTCTTCTCCACTCTGCAACTGGGCAGGAGACTAATTTGGCTGGAACTGGAGAAGCACAGATGGTACCAGGATACTGTCTCCAAACGTACCAGCTGCTGTCAGCACCTCCAAAATGGCTCTGTTAATAGTCTGTGCAGTGGAAAGGGAACGAGAGGTGAGAGACACTGGGTTCTCAAATTGTTAATATTAAGATAGTGTAACCCTTTCCCCTTTCATTTTTTAAAAACAGGTATTCAGTAGACTCCCAAATTCCCAACAGCTTTTCTCTGAGCTACACTAGTACATTAAATGGAGCTCACTGAAAGGTAACCTTAAAATAAAACAGAACTGGCATTTTTTTGGTTTTAAAATGGGTGGAATGATTCATTAGGAAAGAAAGTATGTGGCAAAAAGTGAGGTCTTTTTAAGACATCTGGTGTTTGTAAACAATGAGATAGAGTAATCAGAAAGCAAAGACAAAGCTTTTCCCAGCTTTGAAAGCCCATTTATTCCTCTGGGTATGGGTACTGCTCCCTCCCCTATTCCTTGTATCCTCTGTTTCTGAGGAACAATAGTGTATATAACATTCCAAATTCAGTCTGAGAAAAAAAAAAATTTGTCCAAAATTGATACTGACTTGAAACAATAACAAACATCTACACCTTTTTTCACTCAAGTAAAAAAATAATATGTATATTTTTACAGTTACCTTTCACACATTATATATATAATGAAAGATCAGATTAAGAATTGTAGGTGTCTTAAGACAAGAAAGCTTTAATTTTTTCTGATACTGTCCATGGCTTTCCTCTTGTCTACATTCCTGGGGTATATCATGGGTTATGGATCCAAAAGTGATTTTTCCAATCTACTGTTAGTACAAGTAGATTACAAAACCTCTTATAGAAAGTAAAGAATGTATGACATGCACATTACACTCCTACTACATATGTATCTTATCAGCTAAGCATATACTGGTATATTTCCTGGTATACAAAATTAAAAGTATAACTTCATTGTGATGGAAAAACTCCCAGTAAAACTCCTCCACCCTGGGTATGAGCATATTTTCTCTCTCTGAAAAACATAAGCAATAGGAAAATGCAGCATTTTAATATCTCATATTTGTCATACTTGAATAGCAGATATATTGCTCCCCTCTCCTCTGCTATGAGATGGATCATTCACACATTTCATGAGTATGCAAAATCCCAGGAAATTCAGCATGTTCTTTGTAATAATTGATTTGCCAGTCCTTTTAAATACAAACTATCTTATCTGTCTATCCATGCATGTATCTATCCATCATTCTGTTATGCTTTATTTCTTAGTTTCTGCATTTTGTGTCATTTCCAAAAACATGGAAAACACAAAAGAGCAAACTTGTTCTGTTTGTAAAATATCTCAGGGAAGCCTTCTAGTAGAATTTAATTTCAAGTGTAAACAAGAGTTTATAAAAGTCAGAAGTTCACAGGCATTAGTATCCTTGTTATTGATGGGTCTTGGGGTCAGATTCAGCTAATGCTAAGGGATATTTACTTGTGGGGATGAGCTTCTTCAATTTTTTGACCTCCTTCCCCAGCCAACAGGTAATTTCATGAGCAAGTGCTGAGTTATCTATCTCTGAAATAAAACCCTGACAATGTTGAAATGATATGATGATCTCAGGCCCTGTAAATCGTATTGCTAACCTGCTAAACTTGTTGATTAGCCTGGGACTGGTGTAAGGCATAAAGAAAGCTCGTAGTTGAACTGGTAGGAACCGGGCAGATAGAGAAATTT